CAGCAAGTGTGTCCAACCGAACGTGTTCATCGTCCTTTGGACCCCAACCAGGGAGCCGAGACGCTCCAACCGAGGCCAGCTCAGAAGTGAGGGCCTTCATTCCTCTCGACCAAGTCATCGCTTGGCCACTCCTCCTCTTCCATCCGCACCCCCGGCGCGCAAACAACGCGTCGCGGGAGTCGGTGGGCTGTCATGCGTAACACGTGGCCGAGCCATCGGAGCCTGGTGCGTGAAATAACGGTGCTGAGCGGTTCATTTCCTTTTCCTGTGCCATAAACAAGGCGTCGAACACGCTCGTTGCTCACGCGGTGTTCCCACCAGATGTGAGCTAAATTTCGAAGGCACCGGTGGTCGAACGTAACTAGCCTCTTCAGGTCCGCTGCTTTAAGCGGCCAGGTTTCACAACCGTACAGTGGGGTCGAACGTACTGCTGCATTGTACACTCTACCCTTCAGGGTGAGAGTGATGTCGCGCCGCCGCCATAAGTGGCGAAGGTTAGCAAAAGCGCCCCGAGCTTTTGCTATACGATTCGTGATTTCATCTTCAATCCCACGGGCGCTGATACAACTTCCCAGGTAGTTGAATTTTTAACGACTTCTAGCTGATCCCCACCAAGGATCAGCGAAGGAGGCGGTCCAGACCAATCTTGGAGAAACGCTTTGCACTTCGAGGGTGCGAAGCAAAGCCCGAAGTGACGGACAGCTAGTGCTAATCTGTTCAGTGCCGCTTGGCACGTTTGTGAGCTGTCACAGCTTAGGGCAATATCATCAGCATACTCTAAATCAAGAAGTCGTTCTCCTGGGAGTAGCTCCACACCTTCTTAGTCGTGTCCTGTAAACGCGATTTCCATGACTTCGTCAACAGCGAAGTTGAAGAGGAAAGGCGACAGCGAGCATCCTTGTCTCACACCGCTGGAGATATTAAAGGGCGACGACAACTTGCCGTAAGCCATCACTCTGCCCCAGCTACGCGCATATAATGCTCGGATAATATTCACATGTTTCTCAGGGACACCTTTCCTGAGTAGACAGTCCCAAAGTGCATGTCTATCCACCGAATCGAATGCACCTTTGATATCGAGGAACACGACAACGGTGGGCCGCCAATATATGTGACGGTGCTCCAACAACTGACGCAAAGTGAAGATGTGGTCAATGCAGCTACGACCTCGACGAAATCCAGCTTGCTCTTCGCGGATCTGGCTTTCACGAGTGCCAGTCAGTCTGTGAAGGGTGACAGAGGCAAGCAATTTGGAGGCGATGGAGATCAGACTGATTCCTCTATGGCTGCCGCATTCCGATCGTGAGCCTCCCTTGAAAATTGGGACTATGATGGAGCGGCTCCAGTCGGTTGGGACAGTCTCCTGCTCCCACAGTCTCACTAGTAACTCGTGTAAATCATCCACAAGAACAGGTCCCCCGAATTTGAAGGGGGCTGGAGAAAGGTCATCAGGTCCCGCGGCTTTGTTCAACTTCAACAGTCCGATCTCATGTTCGACTTCTGAGCGAGAGGGTGGATCCAAAGGAACAGCCCACGGAGCGGGGCGATCACTGGTCGGCGAGAAATCTAACAATTCCGACCGATTAAATTGCCGTTCAAAGTGCTCAGCCCAACGCCCCATGACAGCGAACCTCGATACTCATTCAAAACAGCTGGCTTCGCCAGTTGGCTGGTGTCAATGCGGTCACAACATCGTCGTGGGCGTCCGCCAAAGCGCATCCGCAGGTCAGCACATACAAGTGCATGGTCGGTGTCCACACCTGTGCTCCAAATCGAGCGACATTTCTGGACGCAGCCTCTTCATCGGTAACTTATCGCAATGTAATCGATTTGCGTCCAAGGCTTGTTCGAGGCTGGTGGGCGCCAAGTCACCCTTCGGCGGGTGCTGTGTCGGAAATTAGTTCTCCCAAGAAATAAGCGAGCATCCTCACACAAATGAAGTAACCGCTCACCGTTATCATTACGGGAGCCTTTACCATGTTGGCCGCCCAGATGCAGCTCATCTGTGGATAATTTTCCAACTTGAGCGTTCAGATCCTCAGTCAGCACAACAGTGTCCGGGTTTCTTCTGTGGCGAAAGAGCTGGGTCAGTTGACCATAGAAGTCGTCTTTTACCTAGTCATCGCTGCAGTTTGTCGGTGCATAGGCAGCGCTAAGGAATAGACACCTGTTAGTCCCACGCGACTTCGAAGTTTTGTATGAGCCAGCCAATCGGACTGCACACCTCCGGCTACTGCTTGGAATCCAATCAACCAGAGTAGCTTCAGCCCTGGGACTCAGAGCAATACCAACACCAGCTTGGCCGGTGCTCGAAGCTGCATCGCCACCGGATAGGCGCAATGAGAAAGTGCTGCTAGTGTCACCTGAAGGGGATCGCAGAGTGAGCACAGAGCTCGAGTCTTGTAGGCGGGTCTCCGATAAGCAGCAGATATCGATCGAGAGGGTCTCTAATGTTCGGGCAAGTGCTGCCTGTTGACCGATCTGAAGCAATGTGCGAACATTTAGGCATGCCAATCGGAAGGAGGATCGAGGACTCCAAATGGAAGCCGATGAACTGGAATGGACCGCTTGGTTGGACATGGGCCTGTGGACAGGGCAGGAATGACGCTCCGCGTTCTTATGTGAGTTGAAACTATAAGACAAGCGACTATTGAAGCAAGGTGGGGGAGGGCCGAGAATTGGGTGGTTGAAAACAGGGGGGATAAAAGTGAAGCTGGAACGGGACGATAGGGGTGAAAAATCGTAAGAGGGGGAATAGGAAGACGGGAAGGCTTGAGCAGTAGCATCCAAACCCCTATCTACCCTGTCCGATGCAGCAGATAGGGCACCGTTGATTATCCTCTGCAGTGGCCAGAGCATCGGAAATGTGTTTGAAGTGGGATTCATAGTATTGCGTGGGCAGAATGCTGTCAGGTTGCCCAGGCCTAGACAGGAGAAAGATTAAGGTTCCCAACCAAATCCTTCGGTTCAAAAACCTGTCCGCAAGGCAGCGGGTTTGGCACTGGGCTACAAGGAGTCCGTTTTAAGGAATAAGGAGCCACCCTCATTCCAACCTCCAACTTGGATGACCAGGAGGCTGAGTTTGTCTGGCCTCTAACCATTGACCAATCTGGTATGAGTGACTCTGAAGGTGCAAAAGTGCACAACCCAGTATAGCTCAATGGATCACTGAAGCACACAAACCATCGCACCACGGTAAGGTCCAGCCTTGAAGTATCGACTACCACCGAGGAATGTCAACCGGTTAATCACGCAGGTGCATTTTGAGTACCTGCATAATTAGCTAACTGAACTTTCGCCGAGATCGGCGGATGACGCAGGTTGGTTTCGTTCAAAATTGGTGGACATCGCGAACCGATTCCTGAACACATCGATAAGCCAGAGGTGTTACCTTGGAACTGAACGCTATAAAGCGATCAAGGAGTTGACAGATGCAAACCGTTGTATTTCTTCAACCAGACAAGGGCTCAAGTGTTATAAACATGGAGAAAGTGGAGTACATGGCCAAGATGGAATCAATTTTCGGGGATAGAAGTAAGTTTAAACTTGACACCACATCAGACACAACTCCCTTGGTTGAAAAGCTGGTAACTAGGAAACTGCAAATCCTTCTGTTGCATGGGTACGTCTCCGAAGCACAGTACCATCGATTGAAACCGTCAGGAACGGAAACACCATGAATGAGAGGCGCACTGAGGATACACAAGACGGGTAATCCCTTATGATCAATTATGTGCATGAACAACAGCCCATGCCACCATGTTGCTCGTTGGTTAGCGAAGCTGTTAGTACCAGTCCGTAAGCCTCTGGCAACGCACTGTTGAAAAGACTCATTCTAACTAATTGATACCTTGTACCATACGTTGCTAAACACAGAGCACATGTACTCGATAGATGTGGACTCGCTTTTTACGAACGTGTCTCTACCTGAAACAGTCGACGAGTTATGCAACTTTTTCTTCAGCCAGAATCTATCTGTGGGACTCCCTCCTGAGTATCTGAGCGATCTGATATTAATTTGCACAGAGAATGTTCGATTTGAGTTTGAGGAAACTACGTACAGACAGGTCGACAAGGTCGCAATGGGAAGCTTTCTGGGCCCGGTTCTGGCGGACATATTCCTTGGGCTGATTGAACGCAAAATCGCTAACACCATTGATGAAGCAAAGCTGTATAAACGTTATGTTGATGACATCCTAATCTTCACCAGTGAGGAGAACTTTCGGCGAATTGTTGCCCTTTTGAATTTGATTCACCCCAATCACTATGTATCGTATGAGATGGAACAGCAAGACATCGTACCGTTTTTGGATATCCTCATCAAAAGAGGTACACTTCAACGCACGGTTTATCGCAAATCGATATGCATCGGGCAATACCTGCATTTTACCTGCTTCCCCCCGGTTGTGTACAAGCGCGGTCTTGTTAAAACCCTCTTCTACAGAGCCAAGCGCATTTGCAACCCAGAGATGATAAAGAGTGAAGAGGAATTCCTACTCGGAACTCTAATGTCTAACGGGTATCCGGAGAAGTTTATCCAACTCCATAGCAGACCAACCAAGGAAAAGTTACCAGTGCATACGGCTGAGAAAGAAACTGTTTATTTATTCTTACCCTTCAAAGGGGACCATGTGTCACACGACATTGGTCGCAAGATCAGGTCTGCTCTCGTGCGCACTGACACCACCGCGCATTTACACATCATCCATGCCACACGAAGGCTTGCTCACAAAGACCGTCCTGGATGCTCGCCATTCGGTCGGGCCTCTCATGTTATTTACCAGTTCACCTGCAGTTGCGGTGACGTATACATAGGCAGGACCGACCGCCGATTAGCTCAAAGCGTAGCTGTGCACTTCCCTCAGTGGTTAAGACAGTCCTTAGTGAAACAAGAAGGGATGAATCAAACGACGAACCGCAATCCTTCCTCCTCTATCACAAAGCATCTCGTGACGACTGGCCATCACGTGGACCAATCAAAAGCGTTCAAAGTGCTATTGATTAACCGCAGCTCGAAGAAGCCGGTGATCAGTGAAGCGCTACTGATTGCGATGAACGTGCCGGCGTTGCATACACAAAAGGAACTGAGGCAATCTATCAGATTGCCATGGTCATGATGTTTCAGTTCATTGTTACCCATGTGATTTCGTTTCCCTTGTACATACGTTATTTCTGAAATGCACTGCGTTTGCGACTGAGGGGAGCAGTCGAAATGTTAACATAACACAATTTATGTCTTCTGTTTGCGTTGTCTAAAAATACGAATGGCAAGGTGAGTAGCGTTCCATGTAAACAACGAATGAATCGCCGTCTGATTTCATGCCTTTATGGACTGCGATTTTACTTCGTCCGACACCTTCCTTGATAATAAAATAATAAATAATAATGAGTCAGCTGTACGCCGTAACGGCGCTTCGCTGCTGCACGCCCATCATCAGCCGTGCGCGGGCTGAGTATACCGCGATGACGCCCACCCACCTTCATGGATCTATTGTGCAGATCCGGTATTGGACTTGATTAAAATAGGCACTTTTGAAACGTTTCCGCAAACATCTGAAAGAAAGGGAACAGTTCCCATTTGGCGTTGTTCTTACGTAAGAATTCTTCTTTTGGATGTATTTCAACTGTATTTTTACTGGCTGGAGATGCAGTTCAGGCGACACTGTGGCTCACCTAATAGTAGTATACTGCAGCATTTTTATGTAACATGCTTTGCAGGGTGCAGCAGTGTCACCCCCTTCTTAGTTGTAAAACTGGCCATCACGATGTTAAACGTTTCAGTGTTTCTAACCCCTTCATTACACCCTGCGACCAGTTTCATGCTTCTTTAGACCCTTTAGTGATAGTGATAGCCTCAGATAGGTGCGGAACCAAGCCCATACTGGTTGTCGGTTGATACCAAGCTTACTAAGCCGCTGTGCTCCGCGAGAAGTGCTTGTCACTGCATGAGTGTTTATGTGTTAAAGTTGCGCTAATCTGTCTAATGTAGGAGTGCAATCGAGCTGGAATCCAGCATTCTATACGAAATATAGGTTTTGTATGCTGCAAGCGATGAACTCCGCATTCTACATGCGCATCGAGCAGAGAACTTTACTTAACTCTTGTTATCTTGTTTCCAATCAACAGTCTGATATACTAATTAGATCTCACGATTGCATTGCTATTTGAACAATGTATTGCGGGAACGTTAAGGGATTCCGCAAAGATGCACACCCGCGAAACGGACTTCAACGCCCGTTTGCTCATTTGGCAGGCACTGTCACTGTGGTCAAGCGATTTCCAAACCACGACGCAGCAGTGTTTCATGAACAAACTCGTATCACCAGAATTCACGCTCGGCGTAGTACGTCATGTTTTTTAACTAAGTGGCTGTCTCCACCTATATTGTCCCTCTGCGAAGTCAGTAAAGACGCTTGTGCGAAGGCTCTTATCCCTCTCCTTCTCCCTGGACTATAGTGCGGTCGTATGGCCACGTTCGTTTCGCTTTACCTACGTCACTCAGTTGCCTAAGTCTCCGTCATCGTCTCTGGGGCGATGGGCTTCGCTTAGACGTTATCTCGGCATTGGAGCGAATTGCATACTCGTCTACTCGACGCGTTGTAACGACACGTACAACGAAAAGGAGGTCCATAACACAGTGTAGAAGTAGGGAAGCATGTTGCTATAAACGCTAGCTTCGCATCATCTGGTGGAAATCACAGGGTGCATTTTTGATAGCCGTCTTCTATGCTTGGCACATGAAAATAAAGTTAACACAGACTGCAATTACGTCACTTGATGGTAGTTAGGAGGATGGAATCTCCCATGTGTATGCCTCTCATCTATCTCCGTTACTGCATTTAGCCTCCATTACACTACCACCACCGGTCGCCTCTAGGCAGCTCGATAGCTACCGACACGGTACCTCGCTTTGTTCATTCGAGACTCTGCTTCCCAAACCGATTTTTTGCTTACGCGACATTCGAAGTCCGATCGTTGATGTACTGGTTGTAGCATTTGGCTTGCAATCTACTGGTCACTGATTCGAACCCGCGTAGGTGCGAACGACTTCGTAGTATCGCAACACGCAGGCAACCGCTGTAGATTTCCTGAGAGCGAATGGTTAATAGGAGGTTCCTGCGTACTGCTACCACCGTGCGCACTCGCTATTGGATACCTCTCTACACACCTAAATTTGAAATACTCATTGTTTAGAAGCGACGGCACGGTTTAGTTGCTGCTTTGGGACAGTTCTTTTCATGGGTTTTTTCTTAGGCTCTTACGCCTCGGTCGTGGTTGTAGCTACCATTACAGCAGATTGGATCCAGTCGAATCTCAGCATCTCCACTCTTGGTGGACTGGTGAACAAAGATATGCAGCCTTAGAATATTAATCACACTCTTTCAATGAGTAATAGTGCTCGAATTCCAGCGAATTCTGATCGCAGACCGATCGTCATGTCAGTGAATTTTTCTACGTTTCGTATGTGTGTTTCTTACTTTGCTTACACTGGGAGGTTTGTAGCTTGCTCATCGAATACATACACTACGTTACACCTACCCGACTTTGTGAATGCGAATTTATGATTAGCTGCCATTGTGAGGTTTGTGCAACTGCTCGTCCGCTCACCTCTCTTCTTTCCTTAGTTCTGCATATGACTCACAGTTGGAACAGGAAGTGGCCATCAAAAAACTTGCTCATCCTTTTCAAAACGTCACACACGCCAAGCGCGCCTACCGTGAACTTGTCCTTATGCGTCTGGTTAATCACAAAAACGTAAGTGCACCTTTTATCAGTAGAATACCATTTCCCATTTTGTCTGTTTGCATGAAGTGAATGACGCGAACCAGTTGCACTTTTGTTACTCGACGCAGCCAAACAACGTCATCTATGACCTCGTTTCCCGCATGTCATCGCAATCGGCAATCTTATCTTATCGATGCTAGGCATGCACATACAGTGGAGGTTCTCTACTCAGTCTATTCGAAGCAGATTCTGCCGGTGGCCGAAACGATTGCACATCGGCGTTGTAATCCCTAGGTCACAGGTTCGGAAGACCTCGGGATATTTCCATATCTTGTGCCACTGGTGGTTGTTGCGTGACAGCAAAGCGCTGGTACGGTCTACGGACGTACTGCGGGTGCCTATGCGAAGCAGGGAGTACGGTTCCTTATCATCCACCTCCCGAAACCGGTCACTCTCTGACGTTCTACAATGAGCATACATCCGGAGATCATATCTCCTCTCTCACTTATACGGTTTTTCTCAGTAGATTCGATCTCATATGCTAGCTCATCGTGGACATCATCAGGTAAGTGCCTTAGTTGAGAATCAGCAGTTTCAGCGTCACAGAACATTTTGGCATCTCTCTGATGGTCTCACACTGCACCTTAATTCCTTCTCATGCACTCTCTTTCAGTCAAGAAATACAGGCCATGCTCACAATGTTTTATTGGCATGTGTATGTGCTCCTACCAATGCATTGCGTTCTTCGCTTCAATGTATCCTCCTTATTCGAATAAGATAGGCTCGCACCCATGGTTTATGCATCGACCGCTATACCCAATTCCACGAATCGCTAACGAGAATCCGACTTTGCCATCCACTATTAGAAGAAGGTAATATCCTGTACTTTGAAGCACTGCAGCTTGGAAGGGGACAGCACAGACAATTCTCATCGACAATACTAATAATACTACTATTAATCATACACTTTCGAAATCTGGGAAAACGTCTGGAGCCGGGCAAGAACTCATGATTTCAGTTAAGTCCGAAGGTAGTCTGTTAGTCTGCTTACTCGACATTACACTTTTTATACCAAACTTGTGTCAGACCAAGTGAACCCGTACAGTATTGGTGTGATATTTGTTTGAACGAAATGAGACCACATTCGTCACCACAGCAATGCGAAATTGACTTAGGTCGACTGCGATTTCTCTCCCATCTGCGATGCATGCATAGATAACGCCTTCTATACTTGCTTTGCACTCATTCTTTAACTGACTTCAGGTCGATTTTGTCATTGCGTTCACATTTGAATTATTGGCTATTCTATAACCACCTACCATCATTCATCATACGAAATGACCATTAGCGACTCCGTTCTTTCATAATCTCTCGGGGTGAAAGTCCGGATGAGCTGATGGCTAACAAACCTTGAGTATGCGGACAACAGCTCTCCTTGGGCTGACGCAGTGGCTATACCAACACTACTGAATAGACCCGTGCGTTACGCTGCACGGCTCTGCATGTGTTTTGCACCTTCAAAGTGTAAAGTACTGTTAATGCACTGGACCGATGCGTCACCAATTCTAGCTATCATCAAACAGCCACTGGAACTAGTGGATCGGGTTTTCTGCAAAGCACCGACCACCCTGTTCGAATAGTTCTGGAAGGAAGAAGCCATCCCGGCTAATTGGAATGAATCGACTATAGTGACTATACAAGAAGAGCAGACGCACCGACTGTGTTAACCATAGGTGGTGACAAAATCAGTACCCACAATTCTCGTTTGTCACCCCAGTACGGCACGGGAATCTCGCATTAGGGAATACTTATCGCGCTTCCGTCCAGAACGGGGTTGTATAGACCATATATACACTTTGCGATAGGTGCTAGAGCAGCGACACAAGCACCGCAAACCGACAATAGCTGTGTTCTTGAACTTCATGAGTTCGTCCGATTCAGTCGACCAATCCATTCTGTCCGAAATGCCTGTGCAGAAAGGTGTTCCCATGAAATGTGTGAACTCTACATGCCCTAAACTTGATCACGACAGGCCGCATAAAAGTCTACTATGATTTATCAGATATCTTCCAGACAAGAAGTGGCGTTCGTCGGAGTTGTCCAATTTCCCTCTTTTTGTTCAACTTCGTCTTGAACTCCATCTTGGAGTGTTCCCTTGCGGCATCTCACGATGCAGGCGTTGAGGTGTTGCCTGGTGAAAAGCTAGTTGATTATGCGGACGATATTGTCTTGCTGTTTAACCATATCGCGTCAGCCCATTTAACCCCCAATAACTTTTTTAGGGTGACCACCTCGTTTGGCACGCGCTTTGCACCTTCCAAGCGCAAAGTGTTGCTGCAAGACCACCAGTCACTTGCTGATTCCTTAACCCTAGATAGCAAAGAACTCGAGATAGTTGATCAACTCCCTTTTCTTGGCAGGTGCATTAGTAACGATGGGTGCACAACGACTGAAGTCAGTTCACATAATGCTAAAGCTGGTATTGCCTTCTTTAACGCAACGATTGTGGCACCAGGAAGGAGTTTCCCTCATTTTGATAGATCGTACTTACAGGGTTACTCTTTGGGAGTGCGACTTTGCCCTTTCGATCTGAAGCATCTTTAAGTCTTTTATCATCGTTGTCTATAAAGCTTTGCTGGTGTTGGATGACACTAACTTGTCCGCAACGATGATGTTCGGAGATTAGTACTGGACAGTGATAATCGGGCTAGTTCCTTAGAACAACAGATAACACTGAATAAGTTACGTTGGACTGAGTACGTACATATGCCTGGTCGCCGCTTACCGAGAAGAGCCTTATCTTCTTTGCTTGTTTGTTTGTTTGTGGCACATGAATCTAGGTGGGCAAAAGTTAACTTGGCCGCGAGAGATGAATGACGTCCAGACTCGATGCCGTTGATCCGTCCTGCTTTCCAGGCAGAAGCCCACGTGACTCTCCTTGTGCTTGGCTGGAGAGGTTACAGAACATGGCTCGCGGTCGTCAACAATGGTGTGTCTGTTGTCGTCTCGTAGTAGGACTGCCTGTTTAAAGTGTGTTTGTTGCTGAGTTATCTGCGGGGTAATGGCTGCTTATGACGTAGGGCAGTGAAAACCGCAGGGAAGCTGTCTTGCTTCTGCCGATTTATCCTTGCATGATAGCCAGCTGTTTGTTACGGTATGTCGTTGACAAGATGTAAGCGCCTTGACGCTGAATGTTTGTTTAGCTCATTAAGATTTCACACTAGATCCCCCTTCCTTGTCATTTTTCTTTCCCTAGGTCACCATGATTGAATGGCAGCGATGCGTCACCTTAATTGTCTAGTGTACTGCTGCTGGTGTTATTGTATTGGTTCACTTACCTTGGTAGTTGGGTCACCTCTGGTAGTCACATTACTGAAGTAGTTACTTCACATATCAGCAAGCCCCGTGTGGCTTTGCAGAGGCTCAGTATTCAATAGAGACGGCGGGATATCAGCCTGCCAGTGAAATGTAGGGTGTATAACGCCGCGATGAGACCGGTGTTCCTGTATGTATCAGAATCCTGGTCAGCTCGCGTTGAAGACTTTAAATGTTTGATTGTCTTTGAATACTGGTGCTTGGGGAGTATCGCACATATTTTGTGGGAACATCGGGTGAGCAATTCTAAGGTCCGCTGGTTGGCTTTTGGCAAGAAACCTTCTGGTGCTTCACTCGAGTGTTTGCTCAACCACTTACCTTGGCTAGGTCCTATCCTCCATATGCCCGTTGATCTCAGCGAGCATTGTACGCCGTGGTTGCCCTAGGTTTGGCAAAACCGCGTGGTGGTCATTCCATCACGTGACTTGAAGGCATAAAGAAATTATCGGAGGTACTTAGCCAGGCTGCTTCGTGCCGTCTTCGTGGATGGGGGCCGCAGGATTGTTCACATCAATCGTTGGAGACCCTCCCAGACATGGCTCAGTTACGCAATCAATGGCCTTCCTGCATCCGGTCTCTTACATCTGGCTGTTAATTTCCATTCCATCCCGATTAGCGTTGAACACTTCTGTGTCGATTGTTCATTTGTTCTCCGAGCTAGGCGGTTTTCTCGCAAACGTTTCACAACCATGCGAGGTGGCATCCTCAGTGCAGTGATATATAGCGTACAAGCTTACTAAATGAATTCTCCCTCCATGATCGACCTGCAAGTGACTTTGAACGTGGCAGTGTCGATTTAGGTCCTAGCTCGGAGAACAAATGAACAATTGATTCATCAACCCGAGCTACCAGTATTTCGAAACTTCTGTGTCGATTCCATTTTCTTTGTTTTCTATTAGCATCCGTCATGATTTTCTTTTGTTATCCCTTGTTATTTTAACAAGGAGAACCGCGACAATTGGATCCACCGCACTCCGGTGCTCGGATCATGGTTATTCAACTGAACTGAACTGAACTACCACGTTGATGAACGGTCAACAATATGGCAAAGGACATGAATAAGTCCACTGAAAGATATATAAGCTATTTTTCATTCCTAATAATAATAACAATAATAAATTCTCAGCTGTACACTGTAACGGCGCTTCGCTGCCGCGCTACCACCACCAGTCACGCCTGGGCTGAGTGTATACCACGAGGACGCCCACCGCTGCGCGGATTGGAACCGGTGACCTTATGATTGCAAACGAGGCGCGCAGACCACCCGGCCACCGACTGACCCATAAGCTTCTCGAGCTCGACTACATCAGTCTTTGTCGGACAATATAGCCCGATCACAAAAAATAGCTATCCTGCGTTTACTCCCATGTTTCAAACTCGTAACTCTCCGATTTGATCGTTTCGGCTTCTACAAATTTCTCCTGACTTATGATTATTATCATTACCGTTATTGTTATTATTATCGTGACATACGTAATATTGTAACTGGAGGACGAGCAGATATATTTGATTCTTCGTGGAAACTTGATCGGCACATGCGATAATTAGTGTTACGTATTATTCAGCATTTTCAACCTTTTTCTTTTGTACAATGTCCAATTCAGGTGCGGCACGCTCTCTTGATCTATAATCCGCAAAGTGGACGTCTGTGATTT